AAGAGAGAGAGGACATGCAAGAGTTCAGGCCGGTGGGGTGGGGGGAGCAGAAGCATCAAGGGTTCTGGGCGTGGGAGAGGGATGGGGGAGAGGAAGAAGGTGGGGCAAGTTCAGTTGGCCATGTTGAGATTTCTGGTGTCCTTGGGTCAGAGCAGGAGAGAGAGTGGTATCGGAGCGTGGAGAAGGGGAGGGGGCCTGGGCCCCTACGTGGCCCTTTCTCGGGATCATCTTATTTAGTCCCACCCCAACCCCATGGGTGACTCTGATGCCCATTTTACAGATAAGGCTCTGAGAGGTGGGCCCTGAGAGGGGAAGAGGTGATCCGCCCAAGGTCATCCAGCCGGGACTCGAATCCAGAGTTCACGCTATCTGCCCTGGGCAGCACTGCTTGGTGTCGGGGGTGAGAAGGGTCCCTGAAGCCTTCAGGAGATGGCTTCCTGCAGCAGCTTTGCCCTCTAGGCTGGGAGAGGGGTGGCCCCACAGGAGGGGCTGTCTGGCCTGGGGAGCATAGGAACTCTGGCTCTCTGTCCTCCCCCCCACCCCGAGCTGCTGCCCCAGTCCTGGCCTCTCCAAACCTATGGGAGCCCCAGAGCCTCTCAGCTGACATTTGCATAATTGCTACTCAGGTCTGCGCCAGCCCTAACTGTGCTCGTCCCCAAAGGAAGGGGCACAGAGCTGTGGCTCTGCCCTCTGAGGTTTGTCCCTCCCGACTCCCCCCCTCCTGACATGCTCCTGCTCTGATGGGGCCGGCAGAGTCCAGCTCCCCCAAGCTGACCTTCAAGGCCTCCCCCACCCCCTGCTCTCACCCCAGCTAGCCCCACTGGCCTTCCCAGCTTGGGACTCCACCCACCTGTCCAGATCTGGCTCCCATCATCCCCACCTGCCCCCCACTTCCTGCACACACCAGGTGTGCCCCTGCCCGACTAGTCTGTCCACCTGGGATGCTCTGGCCCCACCCAGGAGGCCCGAAGGAACCCTGCGCATCCATCCATCTTCCCTGGGCTTTCCATCAGAAATAAAGTCTCTCCTGGACACTCTGCCAGTTCTGACTTCCTGTCTCACATGTCATCGGGATGATGATGATGACCATGACAGCAGCCAAGAGTGACTGAGTGTACCCTGGGCGTCGTGTCAGGGCATGAATTAAGTCATCGGATCCTCACAACCACAGAGCCAACACTGATATTAGCTGCACTTTACAGATTTGGAAACAGAGCTGTGTGACCTGAGGCAAGCTGTCTGACCTCTCTGAGCCTCTGTTTCCCCCTCCGTGAGATGGAGGTGATAAAGGCACTCACCTCATGAGGTGGTTGTGAGAATTGCGTGACATGCGCCTGTGAACCCAAACCTCAGCACGGCCCTTCTTCCTACTAAGCCCCGTAGAGCTTCCTGTTTTGTGTCTCCCTTCTGCCGGCCGTGCATTTTCCGGTTGGCTCTCCTCTGTCAAGCTGTGCGGCCCCGGACCAGTGAGTCCCTTTTCGTGGACCTCAGTTTCCTGTTAGAGAGTTCCAGAGGGTTTGACCAGATGGTTCCCGGTGCTCCGCATCTGTGCTGTCTGAGACATTAGCCACCGGTCCCATGTGGCTCTTGAGCACTTGAAACGTGTAACCCAACACCTCGGTGCGGCTGCGGAACTGAGTTTCAGTTTTATTTCATTTCAAACCATGTTAACTTTAGTAGCCGCATGTGGTTGCTGGCTGCTTTGTTGGACAGTGCGGGTCTGGACCAAGAGGCAAGGCTGGAGAAGAAGTTTGGGGCCAGGGGTGAAGGCCTTGAGTGCCACGCTCCAGCTTCGTGGCCGTCTTCCCAGACACCGTGGGAATGCTACAGTGGGGCACGGGGAAGAAGCGTGGACAGATCTGTCCCCTAGAAGTCCCTCCAGCTGCTCTGTGGGGCACTTGGAACGCGCAGGGGCAGACGGGAGCCTAGGGTCACAGTCCAGAAAAGCAGGGGTGAAAACCAAACCAGGGGCAGTGGGTGCAGACAGGAGACAACTGGCAAGACAAACCCGATGACCCGTTGCCCTGGTGGGCGGGCAGTAACAAGGATAACTCCCAGCTTTCTCACTTGGATGGCAGTAGGGATGGGGGTGGCCTTCGCTGAGATGGGGACCTGGGAAGAGCAGCAAGTCTGGTGTCCCTTAACCCTATTCCAGCATTCTCTGTCATGTTAATGCATGTGTCCCTGGCTTGCCCCCCAACTCATCTGCACCCCTCCTGAGGCATCCCTCTGCCTGTTGCTGACACAGCACCGTGTGGGCCCAAGGAGAGCTCCGCGCATGTTTGTGGAATGGGCAAAGGAGTGTTCTGTTGCTCCCAGGGTCCAGGAGGAAGAGGCAGGCCTGCCTCCTCGATCAGTCATCAGGGACCCAGGTTCCTTCCTCCTCCTGCCTCTCTGGACTTCCATCTGTACAGCTACCTCATGGCCCGAGGCGACTCCCGCAGTTGCAGGGGTCCTGTCCGTGGGAGCGCTCTGCTGTCACAGCACGAGCTGCCCCCAGGGTCCCATCTAACTCCTGTTTCCAAGGCTGGCTCCTCCTCATCCTGCCGCTGTGTCATCTCAGGTGACAGCTCAGAGAAGAGGGTCCTTCCCTGACCACCTTCCCCCAAACTCACCCCCATCCCGCACTGCTTTATCTTCTCTAGAGCACAGACCATAACCCGGAGTCACCTGGTTCTTTTGTTATTTTCCTTGCTCGTTATCTCTCTTCCCCACCACACTGGACGGTCCCTGTGGGTAGGGACTGTCTGTCTCACTCTCTGCTGTATCCCCAGAGCCTCAGCAGTGCCTAGCACAGAGGAGTTGCTCGGTAAATATTTGTTGCATGACTAAGGGATAGTAAGCAAAGGTGATTTCTGCATGCTTCCCTTAGCGTGTCATCATGACCATCTTCCCGTGTCGCTACCTCATCTGTAAAATTAGTTGGACCAGATGTTTTCCAAGGGTCCTCCCTGCTCTGATGAGCTCAGTGAGTAGGAGGGAGATGAGGGTGAACGGGTAAGTCAGCTCCCTGGCATCTCTCACAGCCCAGGCTGACTGGAAAACCCAGGTCCTGCTCAGAGGCTGTTTCCACAGAGCAAACTTCCTTGAGCCCCATCTTAGTGTCAGGCCGTTGATGGGTACGGGGGATAGAGAGCAGTGACTGGTAAGGGCCCGCCCCGCAGGACTCATGGGCTCATGGGGGGGGGAAGGGCACTAGGGACAGACAGGAGAACTAGTAATGATACAGTGAGCTAACTGCCCAGTACGTGCAGACAGCTGGCCCTGTCATGGGTGTACCCACCTCAATACCACATTCATTCATTTGACAAATATTCATTGAGGCCCTACTGTGTGCTGGGCACTGTTCTAAACACTGGGGATCCAACAATGAACAAGCCAGACAGGACTCCTGCCCTCATGATATTCACAGTCTGGTGGAGGAGATGAGCGGTAAACACACTAACAAGTGAGCAAGAGCATCTCGGACAGCAGAAGGCGCTAGGAGGACCTCGAAGCAGGATGTGGGACAGAGGGTGTAGGGGATGATGCTGTACATGGGGTGATCCGGCAAGACCTCCCTGAGGAGGTGGCATCTGAGCTGATATGTCAATGACACAAAGGAATCACCGGGAGAAAATCTGAGTGGAGTGCACTGGCCGGAGGAAGCAGCAAGGGCAAAATCACGAGGCAGAGACAAGCCCGTGTCAGAGCAACAGGACGAAGGCCGCTTTGGCTGCATGGGAGTGAGGGGAGAGGGATGGGGAGACAGGTGTGGCACGAGGGTGAGGCGCAGCATTGAAGCAGGCACCCCAAAACTCAGTGATTGAGATGGGTAATACTTAATGCAATTTTAAAATATCAATATTAAAGCAGAAAAAAAAAAAAAAAACCCGGGGCGCCTGGGTGGCTCAGTTGGTTAAGCGACTGCCTTTGGCTCAGGTCATGATCCTGGAGTCCCGGGATCGAATCCCACGTCGGGCTCCCTGCTCGGCGGGGAGTCTGCTTCTCCCTCTGACCCTCCTCCCTCTCATGCTCTCTGTCTCTCATTCTCTCTCTCAAATAAATAAATAAAATCTTTAAAAAAAAAAAAAAAGAAGTGAGCTCTCGGGGCGCCTGGGTGGCTCAGTTGGTTGAGCAACTGCCTTCGGCTCGGGTCATGGTCCTGGAGTCCCGTGATCAAGTCCCGCATCGGGCTCTCTGCTCGGCGGGGAGTCTGCTTCTCCCTCTGACCCTCCTCCTCCTCATGCTCTCTGTCTCTCATTCTCTCTGTCTCAAATAAATAAATAAAATCTTTAAAAAAAAAAAACCCATGATGAACAAAATATCAAATTTTTAAATAAAAACAAAATCACTAGCAGCGTCATGCTGAGCCCTACTGGAACCTGAGGCAAAGGAAAAATCAGTAATACTGCTCGTGGCCTTTCTTAAGGTTTCCATATGTTGTGTAGTATGGGTTTTTGTCACTGTTTGTCATGGGTGTCATCACTGTAGAAACCATGTCACCCACCTGACGTCAAGATCATGGTCCACTTATGGTTTTACCCTTACTTGCTTGGCTGCATGCTTTGGGGCCAGTTTCATGACCTCTCTGTACCAATTTTTCCATTGGAAAATGGAGGTATTAATAGTGCCTTCCTCTGTGTTATTGAGAGGATTAAACGACCCAATTCAAGCACAGGCCTGAGAACAGCGCCCAGCCCACTGGACGCGTGAGTCGAAGCGAGCACAGTGGTACGGCCTTGGTACCCACCCGAGGAGGCTAAGCCGGGAGCCCCCGCCCGCGAATCAGGCTGGGGCCGAATGTATGTGAGGGCGGGTTGGAGACAGGGAGGCCCTAAGCTCCCAGAGAGGAGGCTGTCGCAAACCTCCAGATGAAAGATGGAAAGATGAAGGCAGCCCGGGTATCTGGGAGACTGGGGGGTTGTTGAACTGTGCGGGGAGGACGGTGTTGGGCCGGGGCGCGGCAGCGCGGCGACGGTGGGGCCCGGGCCCCGCATCCAGGCCTTGTGTTGTTCCAGAGGGAGCTGAAGGAGCAGCTTCAGGCCCTTCAGGACAGCGAGCGGGAGCACTGCGAGGCGCTGCAGCTGCTGAAGCGACAGCTGGCCGAGACCAAGGTGAGCCCGGCCCGGCGCGGGGGCGGGGCCTGCGGGGGGCGGGGCCCTCTGGGAGGAGGGGCGGGGCTTAAAGGTGCCAAATCTGTCCGGGGCGGGGCCTGAGGAGGGGCGGGGCTTAAAGGTACCAGACCCATTATGAGAAGGGCGGGGCTGGGGGCCGTGGAACAGAGGCCGGAGCTTCCATGAAGGTAAATGAGACCCGCTCCTAGGACTGAGGGAAAGGATTTGGGCTGGTGCCCGGGTTTAAGGGTGGGGCCCTTTCTCCCGTCCTGCTCTGAGTGGAAGGTGAGGTGGGACCAGGGAGCAATCCGCAGGAGCCAACCCTGAGCCTGTTCCCTGGAAGCCCTCCTGATGATTGGTGGCCCAGCCTTGGTATCACTAGGCAGACGGTGGGGATATGGACTCTACTGCAAAGTAGGGCCAATCCCTGTAGTCTCTGGCTGCAATGGTTTGAAAAGAAAGGCTTTTTCTGGACCTGAGAGGGAGGCCCTGGATTCTGATCCAGCCACTAACTGGCTGTGTGACTTTGGGTAAACTGCATCCTTTTCTGACCCCCCACTCTTCCCATCTGTCCACCGGAGACCCTGCCAGGCTCCTTCTAGCCCTGAAATTCTGGATCCCAGGGCCTTCCTCTGAGTTCCCCGCACTGATGTCTCACTAACTGGACAAGGCTTGCTTTGATTTCTGCCCTTTCTGGGACCAGGAACTGGGGACCCAGGCCCAGCTGCTAAGCTCTACGTTGATTTCAGTCTGGCCCCGCTCACTAGCAGAGGTGCAACTGCCAGCAGCAGCTGAACTAGAGCCTTAGGAATGCTCTGGACCTCTGGGGGTCACCTGGGGCCTGGAGAGGCCATTGGAGATCCAGATCTGTGCCCCAGCTCGGCCACCAACCCATGTGGGATCTCAGGGAGGTCATGACAAACATTTCTTTAGAGAACGTTCTGGAATGCCTGCGGGCAGGACCCTCAGCAGGCCATAGATGAGAAACAGAGGACGCTAGCCTATTTGCCTTCCAGAGCCTCAGTTTCCCTATCTGCCTGGTGATTCTGCACCCTCAGGTGAAGAGAAGCAAATGGAAGCCTCTATGTGAATGAGAGCGAATATTATGGTCTAGTTTTTCCCCAGCGTTCTCTTCTCTCCGCTCCCCATTGTTTTTCTCCACTGACCTTTTCCTCCCCTGCTTTCCTGTCCATCTGTCTACCTCTGGGGGGTCCTGTGGGGCCACCTCCCCCTCCAGTTCCCCCAGCCCTGCTTCCTGTCTGGACTGGGGTGTTTATACAAGAAATGCCTATGGATGCTTTGGAGGTCATATTTCACCTGGTGCCTGACTCGGTTTTCCTGCAGCGCCTGTCCCTCCAATGGCCCGGCCTGAGGGCCTGTCTGATCTCCCTCCCTGGGCCCAATGTTTTCCTTGGTCGGTGCTGACCAAGTGACGCTTTCTTGGCAGGGTGTTTTTCTGAACTGGCCCCAGTTCCTCCGATCCCCGGTGTGTTCCCAGGGATGTGGTGGGCTGGGGTAGGGGCTGCTTTCCCAACCACAGCACCAAAGGGGTTGGGGGTGGGGTGGGAGTGGCTCTGCCCTAGGAAAATCTAGAATAAATGGGGCACGCCAGTTGAGCTGGTAACTGTGTTTCCTGTTCATTGTCTCACTGAACCCCACAGAATGTCACCTCTGTGACAGCAGGACTCCCCAGAACCTAGCACAGTGCCTCCCACACAATAAATAGTTGTAGAACAGATGACTGTATGTGTGATGTGAGGGGGACACCTTCTGAGGCAGGAATGTTATCTCTATTTTATTGGCAAGGAAACTGAGGCACAGAGATGTTAAGGAACCAGCCTAAGGCCCCACAGCTAATGAGTGGTTAATTGGGAGCTTACTGTCCAATTTGTCAGAACCTAGTGCATATTCCTGCCCCAAGCTCAGAGGTCCTCATCCAGATCTATGGCTTTGTGGTCAGCAGGACATGTAGGTTGGGAAGACCTTTCAGGGACATACCTGAAGCCCCCATGATTGCCTGTCACTCTGATGTTCCACTTTTGAGCTACCCTCTCCCTGCCTCTCCCCCTTTTCCTACCCATCCTCTTTTGTCCTGGAGACACTAGACCCCCATCCTAAAAAGAAGATGGAGTCTGCACCCACCTCTGCAGAGCAGTTTTTGGCAAGACTCTTCCCTCCACCTCTCAAGCAGATTCTGACTGCCAGCTTTGTGCCAGGCCCTGGGATGGGCACGGGAAGTGCAAGGCTGGGAAAGACATCAGTCTTACCCTTGGGGGTTTGTCTACTAGCTAGAGCCACATAAAATGTGAGACTGTGTATTAGGAATATTTACAAAATACTCTGGAGACATTTAACTATTTCACTGCCTGAAAAAGTTAGGGAGGATGACACAGAGGAGGTAGCTTTCAATCTGGGTCTTGCAGGTTGAGTAGGAGTTTGCCTGTTGAATAGAGTTTGTTTTGGGGGTGGTCCATTCTAGGCAGGTGGAATAGCAGCACAATGGCACTAGAGAGGTAAGCTGGGATCAGACTGAGGACTTTGAATGCCGGGCTAAGGAGTTTAGTCTTTTTCTAGTTACCAAGGAGCCAAGAAAGGTTCCTAAACAGCATTGGCTTTGACCCACTTTGCACATTAGAAGGGTCACTGTGGCGTTGAGTTTGTTGCCAAAGACACAGAGTTGACTTATGGACCAAGAGAGCTGGATGGCCTGTGGGATCCCAGGAGTCTGTGGTTGAGGCAGGTGGAAAGATGAATGTGGTGCTCAGGAGACATGCAAGGCCACGGATAAGGACATGCGAGCCATCCTCAAAGCAGTGGGGGTGGAACATCTAGGAGGGCATGTAGGTGAGAATGGAAGGAGCTGGCCCAGAGGGAGCGGCCACAGAGGTGGGAGGCAAACCAGAACATGCACCTGGTAGAGGGTGGCCGGTGGGCCAAACACTGCCATGGAGGGGTCGAGAAGGAGCCGGAAGGGGTGGCTGTGGGATTTGGGCGTCCTTGGAGGGCAGCGGCAGATGGTGCAGTGAGGGCAGGCCCCATCTTCTCCACCTGTGACCCGCACGGAAACCTGAGGGATCGGGGAGGGGCTCAGGGAGGCCACAGGCAGCCTGGCTCTTCATCCCCAGCCTCTCCTCCACCCCCTTTGTCTGCCTGGCGCTCTGGGTGGGCATGCGCTGGGAGGCTGGCCCGCTGCCAGCAGTTCTTCCTGCCGCCGCCACAGGAGGGAACTGGCCCTAATTGAGCCTTTGTCAAGCCTCCCACAGAGCCCTGGGCACTGAACACAGCGGGGTCTCTGACTCTGTGAACTCCCAGCCAGAATCCCACAAAGTAAAATTACAGAGGCAGGTCCCGCACACTGCTGCAGCCTGGCCACACTTCTGTACCCCGTGTTGTCCCGCCGTGCACTGCTCCCCACATCCCCCGTTGACTTGCTGCCTGTCCTGCAGGCCCCAGCTCAGAAGCCATCTCTCAGTAAGCAGGCTCTTTCTCCGCACCTCAAACAATGCCATGCCTTTTGCGAACACGCCCCCGCTTAATCTTCCCCAGACCCCTGCTCCGTGGTCGTGCTACTCCTCTCACAGATAAGAAAACAGGCTCAGAGACATTAGGCAACTGAGGTTGCCACAGCTAGAGACCCAGAGCCAGGATTCTCACCCGGGCTGTTGGGCACTGAAGCCTGTGCCCTTCACCACGCAGGCCCCTCCTGGGTCCGGCAGTGCCCGCGGGAGCAGAGAAGTAGGCAAGTCCAGTCTTGTCTCCTGTGATCATGGCTTTAACATCCAGCTCTGATTTCTGGGCTTGGGGAGAGTCTCAAGGGTGGCAGGACAGGGTGGGTGACCACCAAGCTTTGCCCAGCACCTTGCGGTTTATAAAGCTCTCTGATATCTGTGATCTCCTTGTCATCTTTGCTTGAGCCCCACGAGTGATTTTTTCTTTTTTTTACAAATAAAGACCTCACTGTATCCTGGACTGACCTCAGCCTCTTCTCCCCGCCCACCCCATCTCCCCCAGCTTCCCTGTCCCTCCCACCCCCAAGCCAGAAAGCTGGGCATCATCCTCACACCTTTCTCTGCTCGGTCCCTCCAGCCAGCCCGTCGGGCACCAGGACTGAAGAGGCTGCGCCCAGATGTCTTTCAAGCCACAGCCCCTCTAGGTCAAGCCTCAGTGGGTTTCCTAAAGGGCACGTGGAATCATGTGCTATCCGGGGCGATGCCAGCCGGTCCTGCCACGGAGCTTTTCCACGTGCCCCTCCCCCACCTTTCCTCTCTCCCCCGTCCGCTCCCCCTGGCCTAACCCCTGATGACTGTCCCCACAGTCTTCCACCAAAAGCTTGCGGACCACCATTGGGGAGGCGTTCGAGCGGCTGCACCGGCTGCTGCGTGAGCGGCAGAAGGCGATGCTGGAGGAGTTGGAGGCCGACACGGCGCGCACGCTCACGGACATCGAGCAGAAAGTCCAGCGTTACAGCCAGCAGCTGCGCAAGGTGCAGGAGGGGGCCCAGATCCTGCAGGAGCGGCTGGCCGAGACCGACCGCCACACCTTCCTGGCCGGGGTGGCCTCGCTGTCTGAGCGGTAAGTGAGGCGCGGGGGGTGGCTCGTGGAGAACGCAGTCAGCCCCATCCTCATCACACAGTTCCGGGACAGGGGCCGTGTGCCAGAGCCTGGGCTACCGAGGCTTTCTGCTTTATAGTTCTCTATATAAGAAGCAGAATCATATAGAATATTACTTAGAGGGCAACGTTATTTATATTCCAAACATATATTGTTTATAACATTGATATTGTAGGTAGTAAATAATATTTATATTATTATAATCTTCTTAGCTCCCTTGGAGACAAGTTACTGCCGCCATCCCCATTTCACACCTGTAGGAACAGGCACAGAGACGCTAGATCACTTGGCCGAGGCCCCTCATCTAGCATTTGGCAGAGCCAGGATTCAGCTGCATGTCTCTCTGGTCCCAGAGCCACCTTTCATAATAACACTTCATTATTGGTCTGTTGATGATCAAGCCTGATAGCTAACATCATGTATTCGGCGTTGACCGTGAGCCAAGCACTGTGGTAAGCATCTTACGTACATGACGCCGTGTCATCCTCACAACAAGCCTGGAAGGCAGATGCTATCTCAGTACCCATTTTAAAGTTGAGGAAAATGAGGCTAGAGATGGAGGAAGTGGCATAAGCAGACACTTGACTCTGGGGCTGGCAGACTCGACATACGTGACCTCACCCTTTGTCAGCTGCCCCGAAGGTGGCTGTAGGGCCCCCAGTGTTGGGACCAAACTCCAGCCCCCAATGCAACCTGCTGTCCTGCTTTCCTTCCAGGCTTAAAGGGAAAATCCATGAGACCAATCTGACTTATGAAGACTTCCCAACCTCCAAGTACACAGGCCCCTTGCAGTACACCATCTGGAAGTCCCTGTTCCAGGACATCCACCCAGGTAAGGCCCTTCCTGCCCGTCCCTGAGAGCACCCAGGAAGAGGCAAGGGTTAACACAGGCAGGAGCTAGGGGACTACGTCCCCACCCAGCTGCCTGCTCTGAATACAGTATGGGGGCAGGGCAGAGGGAGGAGGAGAGTTTCTTGCTGAGCACCTGCGTCTTCTAGGGCCTGTGCTGGGCACCCGCACGATCACTCAGCTCAGTGAATCCTCATACAGCCATCATGAGGCCATTAGTATGTCCATTCTCCAGATGAAGAGACTGAGGCCTTAGGCAGTTCATTCATTCATCCTACAACACATATCACAGCATGCACTATTCTAGGTATTGGAGACATAGCAGTGAGCAAAACAGGCAAAAGTCCCTGCCCTCATGGATCTTACATCATAGGGAGAGAGAAAATGAAATTAATAAGTGAAATCCATAGTTCATTAGAGAAAGATAAAAGATAAGGAAGGGAGCTAGGGGATATTAGGTCAGATAGTGATTCTAGGTAGAAGGCCCAGTTAAAGGATCTCACCAGTAAGGAAACATAGAAGTAAAGGCCTGAAGGAAGAAGGAGAGTGATCCATGCAGGTTTCTGAGGGAAGAGTGTCCCTCGCAGTGGGGATAGCAAGTGCAAAGGCCCTGAGGCAAGAGCAAACCTGGCATATTCAAGGAACAGGGAGGAGGCTGGTGTGGCTAGAGTGGAAGAGAGTAGAAGGTGAGGAGGTCATGGAGGTGGCAGTGGCCAGACCCTGAGGACCTACGGGCCAGTGTGGGAACTTGAAATCTGAAGTTTCACTCAGATTTCATGCTGAGTGAGATGGGAGCCATTGGAGGGCTTGGGGACATGCAGTGGCATGCGCTTAAGTTCCTCGAGGCTCCCTCTCGCTGCCAGGTTGAGAACAGACCGAAGTGGGTGAAGGGTGGAGGCTGGGACACTGGTTAGGAGGTTTCCACAATACTCCAGGCGAGCGATGGTGGCTTGGAGTAGGGTGATGGCAGTGGAGGTAGAGAGAAGTGATCAGATTAGGATATACTTTGAAGGGAGAGCCAACAGGATTTGCTAATGAATCAGTTCTAGAGTGTGAGAGAAAGAAGACAAGGAAACTACAATGATGCAGGCCGAGGTGCCCGGAAGGGAAGAGCTGTAAGCACGTGAGGTCTGCCATACAGATGAGATGTCTAAGTGAGGCAGATGGGATGACTAGTACTGTGGAGGACAAGGGTCAGGGCCGGCGATGTCAGCGTGTAGACTGTATTTAATGAGCCCGGATGACATCACCTAGGACGTGAAAGAAGAGAGACAGGGCTGCTCTCAACTTTGAAGCCCTGGGGCACTCCCAGATCGTAGGGACAGGAGGGAGACCCAGCCAAGGGGACCGAGAAGGAGCAGCCAGAGAAGTGGGGCGGGGAACCCGGGTATGTCCCGGGAGCCAAGTAGGGAGAGTGGCTGAGGGCAGCAAAGGCCACTAGGCCAGGTGGGAGCACCCGAACTGACTGTTCTCCAGCAACATGCAGGTCTTCGGTGACGAGAGCTTAGTGGAGCCACAGGGGCGTAAGCTGGATAGGAGGCCAGCCAAGAGCGAGTGGAGACAGTGAGTGGAGACAGTGCTTTCTATTTCTAAGGCAGGTGTTTGATTTAAGGGACGGAGAGAGAAGGTGGCAGAGGCCGTTGAAGGTGAAAGAAGTAACAGTCTATTTGTGGGTGATGGGAAAGACCCAGTGGAAGGAGGGTAGAGCTGAGGGCGAAGGGCAGAGAGAGTGGCCGGGGAGACAGCCAGGAGAGGGGTCTGCTGCGGCCTCTGCTGGGAGCCCAGACATCTCATCTTCAGGAGCCCAGAGGAGGGGGAGTAAATGGGCAGGGGTGGGAGCTTGAGAGGATTCTCTTCTGATGGCCTCCCCTTTCCCAGTGAGGTAGGAAGCAAGGTTGCCGACTGAGATGAGGATGGGCAAGAGGAGGTGATGGGTGGTTTGCAGAGAGAGGAGAAGGTCTGAACAGGTTTCTAGTGAAGGGAGTAGACCCTGGGACCCGAAATCATACAACCTACAAAGGCACCATGTCCTTTAAAGGTGAGACAAGGCTATAAAGGGGAATTCTCCCTAAGAGGTAGGCACTATTATCATTTCTTCAGTTAAGGAAAGAGGCACAGAACCGTTAGGAACTTGTCCATGATCACAACCTGGAAGTGCTACAGCCAGGATTTGCACTCAGACCTCTCAGAGCCCAGAGCCTGTGCCCTTACCTACTAAGCCAACCAGACATCCTCTGGCCTCACGCCAACCCAAGAAGACAGCGTGGGAGACTGAGGCTCAGAGAGGCTCACTGATTTCCCATAGTCACACAGCAGTCAGAGCTCTGTCCCCGTGCCTGGATTCATTCTTTCGACCCACAGACACTGAAAGTCCCTCCAAGCATTTTCAGGGGTCAGGAGAAACAGATGGGCAAACAGACCCTCCCAGACCTTGACAGCCCAGTGGGACAAGCTATGACGAGGGACTCACACAGGGCTGTGGAAACCCTGAGGGGGAAACAGGAGGCTCTGGATGGGGCAGGGCAGGGACCAGGAGAAGCCCTCAACAGATGATGTTTGAACTGAGCACTGAAGGCTGAGGCTTTTGCAACTCGGGGAAGGGTGGGGCCTGGTGGGGCCTCCAGATTGTCCCTGGTGTGGGGAACTGCACGGGCAAAGGCCCTGGGGAGGGCAGGAGCGTGAGGGATCCCAGGATGTTCATGATGGGGCCTTCCAGGGAGGGATGGAGAGGGCAGAAGACATCAGTGGGGGCGTGAATGCTAGACAGAGATGGGGCTCCCCCGTAGGTGACTGAAGGCCACATCTGATACATCATTACCAATTTCCCAGAAGCGAAGGGACAGCACCTAGTACTCTTAAATCTGGATCTGTGCCCTCGTTGCCAAAAGGGGCAGCAGTTTGGGGAAGGGCCCGTTTTCCAGCAGACTGGGTGGGACTCTGGGCTGTCCTCTTGGGGTACTCCTCGCCTCTCTGTGCTCCTAGACTTGGAGGGACCGCCACCCTGGGGCCCAGCAGGGGGAAGGCCACATGTGGGTGAAGCAGAATAACTCAAGGAGGCAAGAAGCACGTCCCCAGCTGCTGACCCAGGGAAGCCCCTCAGGCAGATGGTCTCAGGAGCTCTCTTTGTCTCAGCTACCACTGGCTGGATCCTTGTCACAGCTCAGAGAGGCACTCCAGGTGCCTCAGTCTGACAGTCAAGGTCCTACAAGACCTGGGCCCTGCCCTTCTCTCATCCTCCCCCTCCCCCGCCCCCATAATACTCAGCGACATTGATCCATCTCCAGGTCTTAAATGAGCCGTAGTCTTCCTCCTCCACTTTCACACATGCTGCTCCCTTTGCCTACAACCCTCTCCACAAACCTCAGTCTTTGATGACAAACGCCTACTCCCCTTCACATCCTAGTTTATAAACACCTCCTCTGAGAAGTCTTCCAGGATTTCTTTAGGTAGCCCTGGGCTTTCCTGGTCTCATTGTTTTGTCAATGTCTGTGTAGCTGTCTGTCTCACTAGACCATGAGCTCTGAGAGGTCAGGGCTGGGTCTAATTCATCACTCTATATCCCTAGAAGCCCTGGGATGTTTGTTGATAAGTAAAGGAAGTTTACTTCCTTTGTTTGTTGATAAGTAAATGTTTGTTGATAAGTAAAGGAAGAAATGAATGAGTCCTAGGCTCAGTTCTGATACTGGAATAGTGCCATAAAGTAAGTACTCAGTAAATAGTTTTGAATGAAACTTGCCACACATCCTTGAACAAGTCACTTTCTCCTCTGAGCTGCAGTTTCCTCCTCTGTAAAATCAGAATGCTAGTCCCTTCTCAAGTCCCTTGCAAGTGAGCTCATGGATGTGGGAACTTGCTGGTTGCTCCAGGGCAGGGTTTCTATTGACCTTTGAGGCTGGATAATTCCTTGTTGTAGGGGGCTGTCCTGTGCGTGGTAGGGTGTGAAGCAGCATTCCTGGTCTTTACCCAACTAGATGCCCCCTCCCCAGTTTTGACACCCCAAAATGTCTCCAGACATCACCCGATGACCCCTGCGAGGCAAACTGCCCCAGTTGAGAACCACTGGCCCAGAGAAAACTGTCTGTGGAAGAGGGGCTGAGGGAGCAATAGTGTGTAACATCCCCGGCCAAGGACACAGGTCCCTGGGGAGTTCAGAGAACAGTGACCTGCTTAGCCAGGCCTTTGTCTGTAGGGCCTGTGAAGTCACTCTGGCACCAAGGCCCTTTATGTCCAGATGGGAGGGGCAGGCGCCCCCAGGGACCTAGCCCCTGGATTCTAGCAGCTTCCTGCCTGCCGGGCTTCCAGCAAGGGCTTCCTATTGGGTCACCTGAGAACTCCATTTAGCACTGGTCACTCCCCTTGCTTCCGAACCTCCAGTCTCTGCCACCACCCACCTCCTGTCCCACCCTTCAGCTGACATTGGAAACCCACCTCCAACCGCCCAGCCAGATTGTTCCAGCCCCCCAGCACAAACTTCCTCCCCAGCCAGACCCGAGGACACCAGACACTGCCTTCTGTGCTTCTGCCACCTCCCTCCCCTGGGCTGCTCGCTCCTTCCCCCTACTCGCCTCAATCCAATCATTTCGGCTTCCAGGGTGTTCGCCTCCTAGCTGTGTACCCCAGGACGAATCACTGCCCTCTCTGAGCCAGTTTTCTCCTCTGTAAAACAGGGATGGGGAAGATGTGATTGATCTCCCAGGGTAGGTATAAGAATGAAATAAAATGATCTATTTGTAATAATAATCCTGGAACTTAGTAAGTACGTGATACCTGCTTATGATGATGATGGTCATGACTCATCAGATGGTTCCTCAGTCTTGCAGAGCAGGCTTTCTGGGGCCACATTAAGGAAAGAATGTGGTGTGAAAAGATCTTAGCTCAAGTTCCAACTGTACTTCCACCCCGAGTGGCAGCTCGGGCAGGCCACTTAACTCCAAGAAGTGTCCCTGGAGCCTCAGTTTCCTCTTCTGACAAATGGTACGGTGATTTGCACTCCTGGGGCTGCTGCAGCGTTCCCGAGAGCTAGTGGGTGTGAGCATGTTTCTCGAATGCCGGCACGATGACCCGGAGGGCCTAAATAGGTGGGAAGCCTGAGGCAGCAGATTTTGTAAGAGCTGGTAGTATCTCCTGTCCTGTCAGGCTTTGAAGGGTCGAGACTGTCCATGTCCCTCCCTCAATGCCTTTGACCTCGAGGTCTCAGGTTTAAATGGACAGAGAAAACACCTGGAGACCAGACGGGCTGCTGCAACAGCTGCTTTTTGTTTTTATATAACAGTGTCTCTGGACCTAGAAAAGAGCTCTGAGCTGTAACATAGTGAGCCCCAGGGGACTGGTTTGTTTCGCTGGGGTTTGGCAGCTCTCCCACGGATAAAGGATGGGTAGAGGGATTGCCAGTCCCCATCCAGCGACTGACATCTCAGAGGGGGAAAAGGTGTTGCCATGCCCCCTTCTGGGTCTCTCTCTGGTCTGAAGACTGTTACTTCTGCCACCCCTAGCCTCACGAAGGGTGGGAAGGGGGCCTGGGAAGACAGAACCTCTATTTATGATGAGATGGGAGACCCTGGAGGTGGAACCCAGCCTACCCTTTGGGGGTGTCAAAGCCTCTTAAGAAGCAGGCCACACCCTGTGCCTAATAAGAACACCGGGCCCCTCCCCTAGCCCTGCCCCTGGGAGGTTGGGCCCAGAACCCAGTTACCGGGCCCCACCCCCTGGTCCCGCCTCCGCTGCCAGCGCTGTCCAATGACCGGCAGACTCCGCCCCCAGGCCCACCCAATGAGTGGCGGGCCCTCCCCTTACCCAGTCCCCTGCGCTTCAAAGCAGTGAGGGTCCCGGCCCAGGAGCTGGCTCTCAGTGCAGTCAGGATTTCCTCTGTACTGCAGCCTCATCTCTGTGGGCCCAATGTCAGAGCCACTGAGATCCCACTTGGCTGCCTCCTCGAGCGCCCTCCCCACTCATCGGTGGCACTAGAAGTGGCCACGTGGCCCTCCATGAGGCTTAAGAGTCTGGGGCTGAGCCCTCCACCCTGTCCCCACCCTCCAGCCCCTGTCCTTCTGCCCCGCGCTGCAGTTTCTGCCTGTTGCTGACCTCCTCAGTCATCCTGAGCACCCCGGGTTCCCGCGTGGCACTCAGGACGGCGCTGCCCACACCTTGGCTTTGTGCCTGCTCTGCCCACTGCCACAGACACCTGAGTGTGACCCATATTCCACAGCCAGTAGGAGTGGCCCGTCTGTATCTAATTAGATTCTTCTTGCTTCCCTAGCCTCCCCTTCACACACACTTCCTACACTTCCCTCCAGCTCTCACCTCTCGTCGCCACTGTGGGGATTCCCACATTCCATGTGGCAGGAGCTTCTGGTTCCGGCAGGCTGCACTGTGACTACTCGGACAACAGGGTGGAACACTGATCCAGTGTCTTCCTTCTCATTGCTCCCCCTCTTCAATGTCCCTGGATAGAGAGCTGTGTTTCCATTGACCCCTCTATTCATAGGCCTAATTGTTCCCATTCAGCCCTCTGAGTTCTGAGAACAGGAAGGGAGAATGTAAAATGCAAAACTAAATTGATTCGTAACAGAGCTCGTGGAAGGTGCCTGATATAAGTCAACGGTGAGCGTTGTTAGTGGATGTGTGAACAGGAGCGCAGTGCAGAAACTGGTTCTTGCTCCCTGTTGGGGCCAGTTGCCACCGCTGAGGTGCTTTATTTCTGTGCACGCATGCAGCCAACAGGGGTGACAGAGGTAGGGGGTAATGCTGCAGCCAAGTGGAATCATGCTTCTGCTCCCCCAGATAAGGGAAGGGCCAGAGAGCAGCATGAAGAAATCCTTTGCTCCTAGGAACTGGTGGCAGGATTCCTTCTCCTCACCCTTCTTCACCTCTGTCTCGCCCTGGCCTGGAAATGGTCATCCAGGCTCAGGAGGGCCACTTCCAGGTTCTCTCATCTTCTGGCTGAACACTAGCTCCCTCACGGAGGAAAGAGTAAACAGAGACTCTGACAGCCAGACCTGCTAAGCCAGTGTGGCCAGCCCAGAGCAGGATGACCCAGCCTGTGCTGCCTGCCCAAGAGCAACACAAACAGGGTCAGTGTAATTTGGTGAGCCTTTCTGGAAACCTTCACCATGCCTGGCTCTGTGCTGGGCACCAGGCACACGAAGGAGGGCCTAGTTGGATGGTACACAGCCCTTGCCCTCCTGGTGCAAATGGGCGTAAGATGTGGGCACAGGAGACTGTACCCCTTATAGAATCAGGAGAGGACACGAAGTTAAGGAAGCTCAGAAGAAAGAGTGAGCACACCTGCTGGGCACCTAAGAAGGCTTCCCAGAGGATGGGCCGAGCCACATGCAGGGGTGATTACAGCAAGCAGAGAGGAGTCAATGGAGGAATAGTCTGAGTGGAGGATTTGGGGCTGAGTGAGGTTGGCGGCATGTGACAGGGAGGTTGGAGGAGAGGGCTGGGGCCAGATTGCACATGGCCTTGATTAGTCCTCACTCTGCCACTAGGTGCTGGGTGACCTGAGATTAGTCCCCTGTCCTCTCTGGGTCTCATTTTCCCCATTTATCACATGGAAGAGTTGGCTCAGAATTAATGGTTTACGGCTCTTTCAGACCTGTCACCTACATTACCTAACAAATAATTTGTAATGTCTCAAAGATAATATTATTTATATATATATATATATATGTATGTGTATATATATATGTGTACTTGAAACTGTATATATCCACACTCTGATGATAATATAAAGGAAAAATACATGGAAATGATTTATAAGAAAATATTGCACATGTCAATCTTTGGTGCTCAATATAGCCACACTGGAAAACATAATGAAGTAGTCAGGTGCTCACACCATAGGTAAAACACCATTCTGCCTCACATGTGGCCCCAAACAGGTAGGTTTTATGAGTCAGTAGCATTTTTCTTAACAGATGTATTTTCCCCAAAAGTGAACAATTCTCAATGAAGTTCTAAACAACACAAATTCAGTCTCCCCTCAGTTTCCATGGTAGTAATGTTCCAAACTACTCCGTGTATTAAAACTGTACAAAAATTATATCCTGTTCATACATAAAATGGAGTTAAGATGTAATTTTAGGTCATTATAAAAAAGTTTTTCATGAATGAAATGAATGTCTGGTTGAGCATTTGGAAATTTCTGGGTGGCAAGGGGGTCGCGGGACTGCCCTGTGCATTTCCTTCAGGGCGTTTAGATGCACAGATCCCATCTATTGAGAAACCCAAACACCCCCACACGTGTCCTTATCCCCACCAGGGTGATTACCAGCACCTGGATAATCTTCAAGCTCTCTCAGCTCTGAAGTTCCCTAATTCTGGATTTCATTGCGGTTTACCAAACAAACTTTTGTGGGGCACCCACTATGTTCCGTACCCCAGGCAGTCACAGTCCCTGCTCTGCTGCAGCCAGGTTTAAATCTGGAAGGACCTTGGCCGGCACCCTTCCATTTTACAGAGGAGGGAACTGAGGACCAGAGAGGGCAGGCTAGCATTCAGCATCACACAGCCTCCTGGGGACCAACCAGAACGCGGCCCTCAGGGAGGACGGCAGAGTGGGTCCACAGCCTTCTCTCCACTCACCTCCTCTCCCTCCTCCGTCCCCTGCAGTGCCCGCCGCCCTGACCTTGGACCCCGGCACTGCCCACCAGCGCCTGATCCTGTCCGACGACTGCACCATCGTGGCCTATGGCAACCTGCACCCACAGCCGCTGCAGGACTCGCCGAAGCGCTTCGACGTGGAGGTGTCGGTGCTGGGCTCCGAGGCCTTCAGCAGCGGCGTCCACTACTGGGAGGTGGTGGTGGCGGAGAAGACCCAGTGGGTGATCGGGCTGGCCCACGAGGCGGCCAGCCGCAAGGGCAGCATCCAGATCCAGCCCAGCCGCGGCTTCTACTGCATCGTCATGCACGACGGCAACCAATACAGCGCCTGCACCGAGCCCTGGACCCGGCTCAACGTCCGCGACAAGCTTGACAAGGTGGGCGTGTTCCTGGACTACGATCAGGGCCTGCTCATCTTCTACAACGCCGACGACATGTCCTGGCTCTACACTTTCCGCGAGAAGTTCCCGGGCAAGCTCTGCTCCTACTTCAGCCCCGGGCAGAGCCACGCCAATGGCAAGAACGTGCAGCCGTTGAGGATCAATACCGTGCGCATCTAGGGCGGCGGAGGGAGCCCCAGACGCCGCCTGCGCCGCGGCCCCCGCAGGAGCGCGGCCCAGGGGAGGAGAGGCCTGGACTCCGGTCCAGCGTGGCCACCGTGAGGTCTCAAACCGCTTGTTTACCCTTCAGCCTCCGTTTCCCGTCTGTAAAATGGAGGTCGTGCTCCATGATTCCTAAACTCTATCAGCATTGATGTCCTGTAGTTCTGACCTTGATGGGGAGGCAGCTTTGGTCCAAGGATGTGATGTGGCTTCTCCTCGGGGCAGCCTCTGCCCAGCCCTCATCCCCATCCTCTGGGGGTGGGGGTCAGGGGGACCACCTCCCTATGTCTCCCTCCTGCCCACGCGCCCTGATCTCAGGATGTGTCAGAGTGTTGCCAGCATTCGGCAGCCCAAAAGATACACAGGAACCCCCTCATGCTCCCACGTCTAAGACTTGCCCCTCACTAAGCCACGGGCCATGTTACCCTTGACCCCAGCCCACAGTGGACACAGGCAGTAGCTGGTCCTAGGGTTGCCCGAGAACCCTTCTACCTCCAGACCAAGAGCTTTATGGTTCCTATTTTTCCCACTGACCTGCAGGTAGTGATGATGTTGTGACCTGTGAGAGGCACCAGTCAATGAGCCCACGTTACAGTCACTGTGCCACCACCTTCCAGCCCACGGGTGGAAAAGCAGGATGACGGCACGCCCCAGGCAGACGCAGAGACCAGTAGCCTAAAGGCAGCTGCAGGCCAAGCATCACTGGGTGATGGAGGTCCCCAGAAGCTTGGATAAGGGTCCAACCAGGCCTCTGTGACCAGATTAGGGTGCAGGGAGCGGTGTCTCATTCAGGACCTGAGCACTGGGACAGGCTGTTGGCTGGGACCTCCCATCAGGCTTGGCATCTGTCTCCATTCGGATCCTGTTGCAGATAACAAGAGCTGTTTTAGCTGGTTTAATTAGACAGGATTTATTATCACATCCCTGATGGCTTTGCAGAATCATTGGAAGGACTGGAGGAGCAGCCTCTGCTAGATTTCCAGGAATAACTCCCAGCCGCCAGATTCATCATGCCTGTCCTGATCAGAAACGCTGCGCCCATCTGCAGGAAGCCACCGAATCAGGAAGCCGAGGACCACAGAGCTGTGCTCCCTCCCCTTCTGGCCATGCCAGCAAATGGATGTCATGAGGCCCGCCTCTCTCCCACTCAATTTAATTCCCAAATCCCAATCTGGATGAGGGGCACTGTTGGGGAAACACAAACCCGGCCCAGAACTTTGGCAGCAAGGGTGTCTGGGAAATGGATTCTTCTTTCCAGGCCCAGCCACACAAAAAGGGCGCAGAAGGAAGTGAGCGCAGATGCCGAACAAGCTGGTGCACAGGGGTTCACCTCCAGGTCTTGGCTGTGAAGCAGCAGAGCCTCCAGCGGTCCTGCTCCCTGGCTCTGGCCCTGCCCAGGGGTGACAGCCCCAGGAGGTGGATCTGCAGGCGTGGCCGAAATGTCTCAAGCCTCAGCTTTGCTTTCTCAGCCAGAGCCTAGATTTGGAGCTCATGGGGTCCCTGACCACACTCATCCCAAAGGAGCCAGACTAGCTGAACTTGGGGGCCTCCCCTCGCAACGGCTGCCCATTGGCATCCCTCTCAGGTGGGAGGAATCCTCAATCTCACCCCGCCCCTACATCTACCAGAATCTGGGCCACCCCCAGCAGTATTTTTATTTTAAATGTTGCCCATTTTATGAGTTATGATGAATTTGTATTAAAGTTACAGAATGTCAGTGGTCAGTTCCATTTATTCTGAAAAAGGCCCACCTTTTCTCTCCCAGGCAGTATACGTATATTAACATGGCTAATCCACAAAGCAGCCCTACTGAGTACGTAATATTATGCCCATTTTACAGAGGTAGAAAATGAGGCTCAGAGAGAAGATGTGACATACCCACAGTCCCATGTCCCATGCCGGTAAGGGGCAAAGCTTGGATTAGAACTAAGTTCTAAAGCCAGCACTTACATTACAACTTACTAGTCAGGGAAGACTGGCAGTCTGCCTGGAAGAGGGGTGAGTGGTAGCCTTGGGAGCAAAGGGGAGCTCATGAGACAGTGTCATGGTCTCCTGAATTCCACAAACCTGGGCTTGAACCCAGGCTCCATTACTGTATGACTTTAGAGAAATGACTTAACCTCTCTGGGCCTCAGTTTTCCACAAGGAAAATGGGGATAATAACACCCATCTCATGATTTATTGGTAAGCTGCAAAGTGCAATGCACTTAGGGAAGTCCTGCCTCTCACTCCAGCTGCCTCCCAGAGTCAGTGCCCTAAGGAGTCTGACCCTAAGGAGTCTATCTTCATCCTTAGACCTTGTGTGGAGAGTGGGACCACCTCAACCAGTAATGTCCCTAGGTCTGCTGTAGAGAAGGCGGTCCATCCTACCTCTGACTGGTGGGGAAGGAGTCTGGCCAGGAGTCAGGCAGGGGCCTGAATATGGACAGATGAGCCATGCACACTGTAAGTGGCAAGGCCCTGGGGCCCCACAGCTGCACAGCACAGCAACCTGGGAAACAGGAGTCCTGAGCCTCGTCTTAGTTCTGTGTTGACTCTTTCTGTACCCTGAAGCCCCTCTCCTCATCTCCTTACCTGCAAATGAGGGAGGTCACACTGAATGCCCCCCGAGGCCTCAGACCTCTTCACTTATACCTGGAACTAGGGAGAGCAGAGAGGGAGTCACCATAGTCATTGAATTGTTTGGGGTTCTAGAAAGAGGGGCATGAACAAAGATTGGGAAAATTAGCAGGAAAAGAGGGAAAGGTCTCTGATTGGTTGATGGAGAGCACCCAGTTTGGGGGGAGGTGATTTTGAGACTAGAGTATCCCCAAGACCCCTACCCCACCTGAGGCTCTCAAATCTCTGTGGCTCCCCCAAAGCCATGCCCCTCCATCTTTGCTCAATGGATCTCTCTTCTGGGGGAGAAGCACCCCCTCCACAGTCCTTCCTACCCTTCCCCCACTCAGCCTCAGCACGAGGTCCAAGAAGTGCTGGCCACATTCCAGTATCCACTTCCCATTTCCCAGTGTCTGGGAGTAACTATAGGGGCCAAATTTGCACACCCAACTCAGGACTCTGGGAAATCAGGGCATCTCCAAAGGCATTTCCAAAAAATTCCTGAATGGAAGAATCTGGGGTTATCAGGCTGATACCAGGAATCCCCCATTTAACACAGGCAAACAAAGAGGTGAGGCAAAGGCATCACAGTCTGGGGGAGGAAGAGGGATCAGCAAAGACCTTACCCAGAGCAGGAGAGAACTGTATCCCTATTTGGATCTCAGTTTGCGGTCAGCAGACAAAGTGCTGGTACTTATCTAACATCAAGACAAGCCTGGGAGGTTGGTATCATTTTCTCAGTGTTTGAGTGGAGAAACATCACCTCCCAGGGGACCCACAAACAGTACTCAACAGAGCTGGAAATAAGACCCAGGCCCATCCAAAGCTAAAGCCAAACTCTTCACTGGACCTCCCTGGGAATGCTTCTCAACTTTGAGGACTACTTCAGTGGCAGGCAGCAGAAGCCAGAACTGGGTCCCCCTGGGATTCAAAGTGGGACCTTAACCCTCCCTCCACACCATTGTGCATTTGTGCAACTGTGAGTCAAGTCTCAACTTCGAGCCAAGACTCATGTGTCTCTCAGGGTCAGGGGTAGACTCAAGAAGGTACTATGTGACCCTAAGCAGGTGCCTTTCTCTCCCTGGGCCTCAGTGTCCCCATCTCTTTTGAGGAGGGGCTAGGGATTCAGTTAATTGATTGCCAAGGTTCTGGCTCTGATTGTCCAGGATTCTGTAAGTCTAATGCAGGGTTTGTCCTGCTCAGAACCTAACAAGGCCATTAGCTCTGGGTCTTTCTCTCTGGGGTGGCAGCAGGAATAGAAAACAACAGAGATAAGGTCTCTCGGCCGCACAGAGCTCAGCTGGAGAGGTCGTCCCAGAAGGCTGACTGCTCCCACTTGGGCAATATTCCTGGCTTCCTCTCATCCTGCCTGGGTTCTGACTCTGTTCACCGTCCCGAAACACTCCACCAAGAGGTCAGTTGCAAAGGGCCATGTCAGAGGCTTAAATGAAGGGGGCTTGAAGAGGCGTGGGGGGGGGGGGGGGGGGGGGGTGCTGGCCAAGGTGCTGAATCATAATTGCCCACCAGGGCGTGGTTATTTCTCCTTACTCTGGGACACCCATGATTCTGCTCTGTCTCTCCGGGAATCCTGAACCACCCCCAAAGACGGGGTGATGGGAAGCAGAGCAGAAACAGATACAGAAAGAAAGAGAGATACAGTCAGGAGGCACAGCCCACCCCCTTCACCCTCCCTCTTCCTCTGTTACACTCCTGAAATGTCCTCCTCTGTCCCTTTCCTTCCTCCATCAAAACACACCCTCCTGTGTTCCTCAGGGTAACTGGCTTATCACCTGAGATGCCATCCCCTTCCCAACAAATGCACATTCATAATAGGAGCCATTCCCAAAAGAGTGGCTAGTGGTGGGATTTCAGGCACCACACCAAGCAGGAAGGTGAAAGTTTATAGGGGGGACAGGAAGAAGGAGGGGTGTTCTTATGACATTTGGGCAGCACGAGCAGCTGTTATTGTGCGGGCACAGACCCAACTAGATGTGGCGGTGGCTCCCGTGTACCTGGCCAATGCAATTGTCGCTCTGGCCCAGCCTTCAGCCCTCCCCCCCGCCCCCAACCCCCAACAGCCCGACACAGGCTGCTGGCGACATGACATGGCTTTTCTGTTTCCAGGGGCTACTACTTGTAGAGGAGGAAAAGACTGCATATAATGGTAGAAGGAGAGCACTCAGAATATTAGGATTCCAAATGGAGCATGTTAAGCATATTTTGGTCCTTAACACCTCTGCTTTTGTGATACTTATCCCCCTGCCTAGAAAGCCCTTGCCCTCCTTTTTCTTCCTATTGATATTCTGTTTGTCCATCCTTCATGTCCCACTCAAGGTGCAGCTGTCCCAGTCTTTCTGACCCAGCAGAACTCAGTGCTCTGGGCCCCTGCAACACTATGGGTCTCCCACTACCACGAACATCTTGAGGCAGGCATCATGTTCCCCAGTTCTGCCCACTGGGTGCAGAGAGAGCCTCGAGAAATGTTTGCTGGCTGCAACTGGCTGGTGTCAAAGCTGGAATCACGAGGCCACCCGGCTCTAAGTTTGGGGGCAATCTTAGAGACCAGAGAAAGCTCCTTCCTAAAGATGCTTGGATGGAAATTGAGCCCCCAGAGTGAGCCCACTGACCACCCCACCACTCTCAGCCAGATTCTGCACAGGGAGAACAAGAGAGAGCCAGGGAAGACTAGGAATGTTGTTTGATTGTTTGCCTTTTTAAAAAATTATAAAATAACTTCTGCTCATTGTTTAAAAATTCAAATAAATGTGAGACTATAAAGCAGAAAACTCCCTCATCTGGCTCCCAGAAGTCAACAGCTGTTAACAGTTTGGTTCAGATCCTTCCAGGCATTTTTGCTTATGCATAAACAAAAATAGAATTTTCTTTTATGAAAATAAGAACATTCTTCATGTTTCTATGTGTTCTGTGGAGTAAATTCCTACAAATGGAATTGTTGGTGAAAGGCTTGCTCGCTTAAAGTGTGTTGCTTTCTTGAGTAATTTTTTTCTTATAACGTGCTTATTATAGAAAATTGAGAAAATACAGTCAAGATATTACAAAGTAAAAATCATCCATCAGCCACTGTTCAGAGATAACCACTGATGGTGCTTTGGTGATAACATTTACAGTCTTTGTTCCCATGTGAGTGTGTTTATTTACAAAAGTCAGAACACAATCTCTTAGTGCGCCATAGCCTATTTTTCCCCCTTAATAACAGACTGTGTTCATTTTTCCATGTTGTCAAATAGTCTTCTGCAGCATCAGTTTAACACCTTAAGGGATGTTTGATCTCAGAGCCCCTGGCAGCCTGCTTTCCCTGACCCCCATTCTGAGTAGGGAGCCTGCTGCCACAGTTGCTCCAGGAAGTAACCTGGGTCTGCGCCTTGCCTTTCAGAAAGGGAAGGCCCTGGGAAGGCCTTGAGCACCTGCCACTTCCACCCCTCCTGAGCTGAGGCCCCGATAGCCCACTCATGGGCACAGAGCCTGCCTGCAACTTCTCCAGCACTGCCCACCGGTGCGGTAAGTAGAACCCTTCCCTCTGCCACTTTCTTGAGCACTGGGCTCCTCTGATCACGGGGTATGGAGGGCTTGGGTGGTCCTGATTTTGAGGCAGAGGAGGGCCTCTGGGCTCAAGGGGTCGGAGGGAGTTGGAGAAAAGTGCCACTTACCCTTGTACTTCAGCCAGCTCTTCAGCCAGCTTTCCCTCAGGCTTATGGGATGGGGAAGGAACAGCTGCAAGCCCGCGCCAGCAGTGGTGGGGACGGAACTGAGCCACTCGAACATTTTACGGTTCCCAAAGCAAATACCCAGCTTCCTGCCCAGGCCTGTGCTCTGCCCCAGGAATTTTCCAGCCAAATACTGTGGACTTGAGTGTGATCGTAGGCAAGACCCTTTTCCACTCCAAGGAGTCTCAGTGTCCTCACTCACATACCATGTGGTTCCTCAGGCACCTTCCCGACTCTGGAATTCTATAATTAAATTTGACGCCATGTTTCCAATGCTCTCTTTTCTCTCCAAGTCCCTGCACACCTTATGATGTATTGAATCTAATTGTGCACCAGGCCTTGTTTGAGACATCATTAACATAGCAATTATTATTAGCAGTCATCTCAATTAATCCTTAGTACAAGCCTGAGAGGAGGTACTACTTTTATCCCCATTTTACAGATAAGAACACTAAGTCCAGAAAGTTAAGATGATTTTCCAATTAGAGTTCAGATTTAGGGCTGTGTGACTCCTTATTATCTTGCCATTCCCATACCACCCTGTGATGTGTGTAGGGATCAACTTCCCTTGCTATAATTGGGGAAACTGAGGCCAGAGAAGGGAGGTAAATTCCTCAAGGTCGAACAGCAAGTTCATGGCAGAGCTGGGTAAATCCAGGCTTTGTGCTTCCCAGTTTACCCTCACCTCCTGCCCAGCACTGGCTAATTTTCTTTTTTTTTTCTTAATGAAGATTTTATTTATTTATTTGACAGAGAGAGAGTGAGAGGGAACACAAGCAGGGGGAGTGGGAGAGGGAGAAGCAGGCTTCCCGCAGAGCAGGGAGCCCGATGCGGGGCTAGATCCCAGGACCTGGGATCATGACCCTAGCCAAGGGCAAATGCTTAATGACTGAGCCACCCAGACATCCCAGCACTGGCTAATTTTCAAAGAGGGAAGCTGATGAACCAGACACAGCCCTTGAGTTGGAGTCAAATGCCCAGAACTGAATGGGGGTGGGGTGGTCAGGTGAGGAAGGTCATGTTTGTTCAGCCCTGCCTGGGTCCTCCCTCCCCAAGCTCAGTCCAGAGAAGTGTTGACTTTGTGCAAGTCTTAAAGGGAGAAAAGGTGACATTACCTGTGGAGTGGGGGAGGGCAGGGCCAGAGGACCGCCCCCCATCCTTCTCCATTCTCCCCACTGTGCTCTCCACTCTCTCTCTCTCATTCAATCACTCACCCAACAAACCCGTAGAGAGTGCCTACTATGTGCTACCACCGAGATAAGCAATGACAGGTGCATACCAGGTCTCTATCCAAGCGTTGACAGGGACCAGGCAGTCACAGCTTATGTACAGAGGCAAGGCTAGAGAAGAGGCTGTGGGAGGAGGTTCTGCTGAAGCTGAGGCCTGCAGGAAGAGTCAGAACTTGGCAGAGTGTTCCAGGAAGAGGGAACAGCATGTGCAAGGGTTAGGAGGCCAGAAATGGGGTTATGCGACAGAAGGTTGAATGTGACACAGAAGGCAGAGCAATGCAGCTGGAGAGGAAAGCAGGGCTGAGCCACACCATGCTGTGAGACATCTGAGGGCACTGTGGAGCCATGACAAGGTTTTATGCAGGGCAGAGGTGAGGTCATATTGCATGCGGTAGAGCAAAACTGGAGGCAAGGAGAAGGCTGGCAAAGCTGCAGCATGGGCTGGAGAGAAAGACGGAAGAAGGGAGAAGTTTCCCGGGAGCACTGGGGGCTGTTTTGGAGCCATGGTGCTCAGCCTCACTCCCTCATTTCAAGAGCCCCGGAGAGGACAGGTACAGCAAGCTGGCAGTTCCCACATTGTTCCCCACACCAACAGAACCCGTAGAATGTGATTCCTGCTGTCTCCCACACCATGCATCCCTGGGTAAACAAGTCTGGTGTCAGGGAGCTCACTAGCTCTACCACAGCCCATCCCACTACCGGACCATAATCATTAGGAGGTCCTTCCTTATGTGGGTCCCCTTGCGTCCCCACTGGTCCTAGCTCTGTCCTCTGCGTCCCCCAGGCAAGACTGGCCTCCTTCTCACAGGATGGCCCTTTAAAGATCCCTCTGTTACTGCTTTTCCAAGGACACCTTCCTATTCTTCAGCTGCATAAACTGAGGCAGGAGTCCTGGATTCCTCTACGACCTAAGCACTTTAGTGGACATGAGAAAAGGGGAGTCAGCCTGCGTTTGACTCTTGGGCTTGCCACTTCCCAGCTGGGTGATCTTAGGCAAGACACTTCACCTCCCTAGCCTCCATTTTCCTGTCTGAGAAATAGGAATAATAATATCTATCCTTACTGTGAGGACCCAATGAGTCAAACTGATATTAATACCTAATGAGAGCTGGAATTTGTTGAGGGACTATCATGCACCAGGTGTTGTCTTGCTGGGCTGGCCCACATGCCTGGCCCATTCTGGTTGGGAATCACGTGGACAACATGGAGACTCGGCAGCATGCAGACCTAAGTTCAAATCCTACCTCTGCCCCTTACTAACTTTTTAACCTCAGACAAGCCAGCCTTTGCATCTCAGCTTCTCCATCTAGTAGAGGGTAATATCACAGGCAGCTTGCCAGGTTGGATAAGACAAGGCATATAAAGCACCTGGTGTTATTAATATCACTTCTCTCACTTAGAGTCCACAAAACTGGACCGAGTACAATGTACTTCTAAGCACCAACAGTGGGGGGTGGGGTGGGGGAAAGAACTATTGGCTACTTGCCCAAGGTCACTCAATCTTTGCCTCCAAGTCTGTTTTTGCCCTGTTCCTTGCCTCCTCCAGACCTGGGATCCCAACCTCGTGTGGGCACAGCTACTAAGGGCAGGGGAACAACCTGCCCCTGGGGAGCAGTCCACTACCCCTGCCTTGACGCTTCAGTCTCTTTGGCCAGATGTGGGTGGCTTGCAGGCTGTGGTGATCATCATTCTACCCCTATTGTCCTCATCCACTCTGCTGATCCTCAGCTGCATGCTATGGAAGACATGCTACCGGCGGTCTCGCGTCCCCCACTCCAGCCTGGCGTCCCCATCAGGAGCCCAGGTAAGCCACTCAAGGACTGAAAGACTGGGAAGTTTCCATTTCTGTTTATTCTCCATCTCCTCGTGCTTAACACTGGGGAAAAGCCCTATAACATCTGTATTGCCCAAAGGTGTGACATGTGACTCTTATGTCAAGAGAAGAAACCCCTTTATTCTCTTGAGGCAATAAGCAATAATGTGCTGAGCTAGATAAAGCCATGCAGAGATCACAACCTATGTGGTCTCATAGTCTCTGAACCCTTGTCCAGGTTCTGTTGGACATTACTCACAAAACCTTGGGTTAAGGAAGCCCATTCTGCAGCCCCTGTAACTGTGGCTCTGGGTGACTATGAGACCAAGGCTGCCCTTGGCCACACACTGCCCCCCCTATCACCCTGAAAACCCCCCTTCCTGAGCTGGTGGGACCTCCACAGGGAACCTCACCAAGGAACAGGAAGTCCTGCTCCAGGGACTGAATGAGAGCATGAGGGTTCACCCCAGTTGGGGCGTGCCTTATCACATTATCCAAGGCTTGCTGTCCTTAGAATTTTCCACCTGTCATATATATTTTTTTAAGATTTTATTTATTTATTTGACAGAGAGAGAAGGAGAGAGCACAAGCAGGAGGAGTGGGAGAGGGAGAAGCAGGCTCCCCACTGAGCAGGGAGCCTGACGCGGGGCTCAATCTCAGGACCCTGGGATCATGACCTGAGCCGAAGGCAGAGGCTTAACCAAGGGAGCCACCCAGGTGTCCCCACCATTTGTCATGTCTTAAAACACACATCACCTGTGCTTTCCTGAGGTCATGGAGTTTGCGCTTATTACATGGTTTTTCTGGAGAACATGACCCTAAGCCCCTGACAGGCAAGGCTTAGATGGCATGAAAATTGCCGAGGCCCTGAACCCCTGCCCAGCCTGGAGCCTCCCCTCTACTCTATCCACTGCCTGATCTCTGGGATTCAGAGGGGCAACAAAGGGAGGAAATGGGTATCACACAGCTAATACAAAAGCCCAGAATTCTCACTGGTGCCCAAGATCTCAGACGTCTGTCCTGGCTATCTGCCAGCCACAGGTTCATGGCTTCTTCCACCCATCCAGTGATAACCAAGTATGTTGGGTGCTGGGTTCATAATGACAAATGAGACCCAGACTAGTAATCTGTGCTTGGAACAGAACAATGATAATGAGAAGTGCTTGGATGGGGTACAGGAGTTTGTGGAAGCATAGAGAAGAGACCATTAACCAGCCAGGGAAGGAGAGTTAAGATTTCCAAGAAGAGGCATCTAAACCAAGAACTGAAGAATGACTAGCAACTTGTTAGAAGGAAGGTGGAAAAGGTAGAGGGAACAGGAAATGCAGTGTAGGGGTTGGCAGAATATGGCCCACTTCCTGGTTTTATAAATAAAGTTTTATTGGAACATAGTCATATCCATTCACTTATGTATTTGTCTCTGAGTGCTTTTGCTGTACACAGCAGAGTGAAATAATTGTGACAGAGATACTATGGCTTGCAAAACATAAAATATTTACTACGTGTCCCTTAACAGAAAAAGTTTGGTGACTCCTAGAGGTTACAGAACTCATGCTGCCCTTTAGGAACATAATGGCTGGAGGGTAGAGGGAGGAAATGTGCAGTAGGCAGCTCACAGTGAGTCCTTAATGGATTGACCCAGATTGACATCTGATTTAAACTGATCTAATCAGGAGCACCTGCGTGGCTCAGTCTATTAAGCCTCCAACTCTTGATTTCAGCTGGGGTCCTGAGATCAGCCCCACATCAGCTTCCATGCTCAGTGGGGGAGCTGTGCTTGAGATTCTCCCTCCCTCTCCCTTTGCCCCTCCCCCCACTCATGCTTGCTCTCTCTCTCTTTGTCTCTCTCTCAAATGAATAAACAGATCTTTTAAAAAATAAATAAACTGATCTAATCAGATTCTCTCTTCCTAGGAATGTGAAATGTGGAATATAAGACCCAGAAATGGAGCTGAGTTACAATAACATCTGTGAACCTCTGCTGATGGGCCCCCAGACTGGTTAATCAACAATTCCTTTGAGTCAGAAGCCTCTTGCAATCAATTCCCCAAACTTTGAATTTTCATTTCCTTTCAAAGTCAGTTTCTGTTATTTTTAATAACTTTAAAATTCAGGGAGTAGAGAAAGTAGAAGCTGAAAGGGTATGTAGGTTTAATCAGCACAGTCCAATGTAAGTATAATATGAACCACATATGCAATTTCACATTTTCTAGTACGCACACTGAGGAAGGTAAAAAAATGAGTGAAATTAATTTTAATAACATATTTTATTTCACCCACTATATATAAATATTTCAGTATGTAGGCAATATTTAAAAACTGTTAATGAGATATTTTATATTCTCTTTGAATTACATCTTTGAAATCTGGGGTGGGGATGCCCCGGGTGGCTCAGTTGGTTAAGCGTCTGCCTTTGGCTCAGGTCATGATCCCAGGGTCCTGGGATCGAGTCCCATATGGGACTCCTTGCTCAGCAGGGATCCTGCTTCTCCCTCTGCCTGCCGTTTCCCCCTGCTTGTGCCCTCTCTCTTTCTCTCTGATAAATAAATAAATAAATAATAAATAAATAAATCTTTGAAATCTGGGGTGTATCTTACATTTATAGCACATCTCAAATCAGACTGGCCACATTTTGAGCACTCCATAGCCACATGAGGTTGGTGGTTAACATAATGGACAGTGCAGATTTAGATCCTCAGGGCCTTGGAGGGGCAGCTAAAAAGTCCGGGCTTCATTCTGAAAGCAGTGGACATCCCCCAAAGAGATTCAAGCCAGGAAGTAACATGATTAAAAAAGATTCATTTTAGAAAGATCATTCTGACTTCCCCTTAAAGAATAGACTGGCCAGAAGTTAAGGCTAGCATTGGTGAGATCAGCTGGGAGGAGTTAAAGTCATCCAGATGAGAGATGAGGGATGACGATGACAGGATTTGGCAGCGGCAGCAGGAATACTGAGATATAATTGAATTCAAGAGATGCTTAGGAGACAGACACAACATGCCTCATCATCACTGTTGCCCTGAAACATGAGTGCTATATCCTACCTGCACACCTTTGTGTATCTCCTCCCCGCACACCTTTGTGTATCTCCTCCCCACCACCCCATCCCAAGTATCTTCTTTTCTCTCTGGCAACCAAGGAAGCAAATCCTCCCAATTTTTAAGGCTGTAGTCCATGGTAGCTACGCATGCAGAATAGTTCACAGCAGGGGATCAATTAACAAATGTTTCCTTCCTCCCTCAAGAAAGTCTTTTCCAAGGGTGCCTGAATGACTCAATCCATAGAGCATGAGACTCTTGATCTCAGGTTCATGAGTTCAAGCCCCACGTTTGGCTCACTTAAAACAAACAAACAACTGAGGGGCGCCTGGTGGCTCAGTCGTTAAGCGTCTGCCTTCGGCTCAGGTCATGATCCCAGGGTCCTGGGATCGAGCCCCGCATCGGCTCCCTGCTCCGCGGGAAGCCTGCTTCTCCCTCTCCCACTCCCCCTGCTTGTGTTCCCTCTCTCGCTGTGTCTCTCTCTGTCAAATAAATAAAATTAAAAAAAAAAAAACTGAAAAAAGAAAAAAAGAAAGAAAGTCTTCTCTGAATGCTCCTGCCCACACCTAACCCCCAAACCTGAAATATGAAAACCGGGAATATTGGTGTCCCCCCGCCCAACGAGGTAAGCTAAAGGTCCTGTTCTGGGAAGTTGTTGGCAACTCTGCGAGGTGCAGTGATTTCAGCTGCATGAGTGAAGGTGGAGAGTTGTATTGAACCAGGGTTATGGTTTTGCCAAGAGAATACAACAAACAGAAAAGAGACAAGATTGTTGAGGGTGATCGTGAGAGAATGATGCTAAAAGTTGACCATGGAATTTAAGCTGGCACGGGAATCTTTAAGTGCTATTCGTAAGTATTCCAATTCTCCAACCTCAACCCTCCACCTCAACCTTCTGGACTTCGGGTAAAAATGCACTTTCCTGTTCACTTGACGTTAGGCATGGCCATGTGACTAATTTTGGCCAACTAGTAACAGATCCTAGCTGGAGCATATAATTGACAACAAAACCCTCAGAGTTCTCTTTTCCCTCTGACATCGTGACCACCATGACTTGAGATGTTGGCTTTTCTGTCAGCCTGGGTTTCTGACTACAATAAGCAGAGCCCCCTGTAAACCCACAAGGTTCAAGTTGTATGAGCAAGAAATAAAACCTTATTGTGTTAAAGCTTAAAATGTAAACCTTAAATATAAGCCTAAAATTTTGGGATTGTTACTCCATTACCACTTAGCCTATCTTGACTGATATAGCTGGAAGAGAGATCATTAACAGAGAGAGGAAACGCAAAATATAGGATTACTAGATTTCAGTTCCTGGTATTAAACAATTGATGGAGTCAGAATAGGAGAGAGAATAACTGGAAAGATATGAGGTGTTGCTTAGAAAGTCAGATTCATGGCGAGGTCAATGGATGACTATGAATGAGTGGCTGAGATGAAAAGAAGACAAGATCTTTGAAGTAAGAAACGGAGAGGACAGAATGTTGGAAGGACCATCTCTGTGTATACTGAAATCATTAAAGAATGAAACAGAAGCAGTGGTGAAAAGAGTGACAGCCAGATGCTAAATATGGCATTGTTTCTCTTCCCATAAGCAAGACATGAATGCCATGAGGGCGGGGACTTTTGTGCTCATTTTTGTGTCCCCAGTGCCTGGAACAGTGCCCAGCACAGAGAGGGCACTTACTAAATATTTGCTGAATGAATGACTAGATGAAGAGGAGAGTAGCACCTCATACACTCTGACAACTAAATCTAACTCAAGGAAGAGAGTTCCCTCCAGTTCTCACTTCCTTGACTCTATTTTACTGTAGCACTTCTTCCCAAGACCACAGTAGTTGTTTTCTCTTTGTCCATCCTAGAGTCTGCTTGTTGACCTATCTTGTTGTGGCCAGAAGTCTTAAGGAACTACTCATCCCCATGACCTGCATGCTAGCAACTCTAGCTAATACCATCCCCCACATTATTACCAAACAGTGACACTGTTCTCTCCTCTGCCTTCTCCCTCATTCCCACACCCAACTCCATTGGCAAATGTCTTCATTTTATTTCCAGACATATCTCAAATTCGTCCCCTGCTCTTCCACCCCACAGCCACTGTCCTGGTTCCGATTCTCATCATCTCTCCCCTGGCCTACAACAACAGTCTCCTCCTAATCTCCCTGCTTTCTCTCTTTGCTTCTCATCTCTCTATATTATCTAGTTAGCTATTGCTGCATAACAAAATACTTAAAAATTTCATTAAAACTTAAAACCACAAACATATTATCCCATAGTTTCTTTTGGTCACAAACGTGGTAGTGGCTTAACTGGGTAGCTCTGGCTCAGGGTCTGTCACATGGATGCCATCAGGAGTTGGCCATGGCCAAAATCATTCCAAGGACTGCCTGGGGAGGATCCACCTCCAAGCTCACTCACATGACTATTAGAAGTCCTCAATTCTTTGCTAGCTATTGGACAAAGACATCAGTTCTTTGACACATAGTCCTCTCCATAGAGCAGCTCATACCATGGCATATGTCTTCCCTAAGAAGAAATGAAACCAGGAGAAAGAGAGGGCACCCAAGACAAAAGCCATAGTTTTTGTAATCTAACCTCAGAAATAATAACCCATCACTTCTAACACGTTCTATTCATTAGAATGGAATAGAATCAATAAACACAGTCATGGAATCAATAAACACAGTCCATACTTAAAGGGGAAGGAATCTCACCAGGCTATGAATACTGGAGTTCAGGATCATTGGTGACATCTTAAGAGACTGCCTACCACATCCTCTTCACTGCCTCCTAGGGAGCCATGTAAAGGGCATAGCTGACCCTTTCTCTTTTCTGCTCAGAAACTTCTGTTGACCTGCTGATACCTCAAGGATGAAACATTCATAATATTCCCCAACCTCCATTTCATTCTCAACCTCCATCTAGTACTCCAGTTCCCAAGAAAGGACTCTAAATTATCACACTATTATTCCTTTGTACAGACCATTTCCCCTCCACCTCCCCTGACTTTTCTACCTGGCCAACTCCTACCCATCCATCAAAGCCCACTGCTTCTGTTCTAACCCTAGCAGGCAGTTACATCTATCCTTAATCAGACCTCCCTTGGCACCCTGTGCTTTCCACTAACACCACTTACCACACCTAATCATTATTATCCCCACTCGTAGATCTCACATGATCTTAAACTTAACATGTTCAGAAGTTCATTTCTTTCTTTTTTAAGATTTTATTTATTTATTTATTTATTTATTTATTTATTTATTTATTTGAGAGAGAGAGAGAACAAGCAGAGGGAGGGACAGAGGGAGAGGGAGAAGCAGACTCCCAGCTGAGCAGCAAGCCTGCTGCGGGGCTTGATCCCAGGAACCCAAGATCATGACCTGATCCAAAGGCAGACCCTTAGCCGATTGAGCCACCCAGGTGCCCCCAGAAGTTCATTTCTGCTGATTTTCATATTGATGGGATTTAGCAGATGGATCTTGGAGCCTCACCCTCTTAATTGGAGACGTACAGAACAAGTTATTGAACTTCACCATCTTAACTGACGTTATTAAAATGCCCAGAGAGCAGCCATTTGGTAATAGGGTCCTACTAAATAGATACATATGCTACTGTAAAGGCAATTATGGTCCTCGCAGACTTCTACAGGGCTGTGTGGATACGATTGAGAGGTTCCTCCAGAGCTGGTCAAGATGCTTCCCAGCCTGCCTTCTGTTTTAGCCAAGCTACTTCCTATGGAAGCCTTAGTCTCCTAGTTTGTAAATGGAAATAACTTAAGCAGTTGCTATGTTAGCAAGTCAGGTGCAGTTTTAAGTGCTTTAAATGTTTGTTAATTTATTTATTTTTATTTTTTATTATTATTATTTTTTTAAAGATTTTATTTATATATTCATGAGAGACAGAGAGAGAGGGAGAAGCAGGCTCCCAAGGAGCAGGGAGCCTGATGTGGGACTCGATCCCAGGACCCTGGGATCATGACCTGAGCCGAAGGCAGACGCTTAACCATCTGAGCCACCCAGGCGCCCAAATGTTTGTTAATTTAATCCTTAGAACAATGGTATGAGGCAAGTACAATTATTCCATTTCACAGACGCGGAAACTGTGGCACAAAATGTGAACTTGCCCCAGGAAACAGGCAATCATGACAGAACCAGGATTCCAACACAGGCAGTGAGGGGTCGGAATGTGTCAAAATAACTTCACAGGCTTGTGCGGATTAAATGAAATAAAGCGAGTGAGAGGCAAGGCACACAGTACTCTTCATTATTTTAAAACGTAAAAACAGCTTGGCCTCCAGGTCAAGAATTCGTTCAAAGTCCCTGATTTTCCGCGTGAACTCATCAGGTGTCTCTCCCGGGTATGAAACGGGTGGGCAGGGAGGACACCTGAGACGAGCCTCCAAGCACCCCACAGCAATCGGGTCCTTTTCCTCTAGGATCCTCCCACTTTGTAAGTGAGGCGGAAGTAGCTGGCGAAAACAAACCCACTTCCGGTGTTACTTCGAGCCTTTCACGCCCGGCGGAGACCAGGTAGCCGCCTTCCCACGCCGCTTTCTTCCCGGGCTGACCCCTTTCCTGTGGGAGCCCCGCCCGCGGCGAAGGTTCGGTTTTCCATTGGTGGAGGCTGGTAGCTGCGTCGGTCTTTCAACCAATGGACTGCGCTCTCTCTTCCGTTTGGTAAGGTCAGCTCCTCCTCCGGGCCGGCAGAGAGCGCGAGAGCGCAGGGCTCGAAGCCTAGGAGGCTCTCTGGCACGGAAGGGACGTCACGCTACCGGAAATCCGCGGCCGCCGCGGCTGGAAGCCGGTGGTTTGAGATTCCGTGAGGCGGTGGCGGAGGGAATCGTTTCCGCCGCCGGCGGTCTCGTTTGTTCAGTGAGAAAACCGAGCTCCTTGCACGTATTCACTCGGCGTGAAACTCTCCCGAGACCAGCGCGCTCGCACACGACTTAGCAGAGGGACCGCCCCGGGGCCGGGGCGGGTGGGGGAGGCGGCCAGTTGCTCCGCCTTTGGAGCCCCCGAGGCCGGTCTTGCAGAAGTATCTCCGTTTCACAGACGGGGAAAGCGAAAGCCAGAGAGAGAGTAAGGTTACCAGCGTTAGTAAATACAATGCAGGACGCCCAGTAGAGCTGAATTTCGGTGTCATCCCTCCACAAGTAACGTCCGTCTGTAAGAATATCCCACGTATTTTCCGAGACGTAACGTTTCCTTAAAGAAAAATGTCCGTCGTTTGTCTGAATTCCGATCTATCCGGCAGGCCTAGGCCAAGCTCACCCAGCTGAGTGGAAGAGCAGAAAGAGCTATTGAGGCACCCTGTATGCCTTGCCTGCCAAGGCTCACCCGTGCGTCGACCTCACTCTGCCTGCGTGTACTGCGGAGGTGGCCTGCAGGGCCCCCAGCCCGTGCCAGTCTGCGGTCGGCCCTCTGCGGGATCCAGGCTGCTGTTCGGGAGCTGAGCCGAAGGGGCCGGATGCCCACCCGCCTCCCCTCGCCCTCCAAGCCTAGTTTATTCAAAAGACGCTAAGCATCTACTCTACCAGGCTCAAACCCAGGCTCCAGGTGACCTTGGCAGTTAGGAGAAGCTCCCCGTCTTTGTGAGATTAACAAATGTAGAGAAAAATTACCTTGTGATCAACTGTTCTTTAATACTGGTAGATATACAGGGTACTGTGCATGCCTAAGCATTACCTAGCAAAAAGGGAGAGACCCCTAAGCTGAGACCTGAGAGAGTCCTTCCTTCGACCGTTATTTATGGAACAGCTATGTATAGAGCAGAGTCTAGGCACTGGGGACAGGCAGTGAACAAATCTCTACCTTTAAGAGCTTAATTCCAAATAAAATACATAGTATGTCAGATGGTGAGCTATGGGGGGCGGGAGGGAGAGTAAGGGTACCAATGGGTTACAAAATGCTGGGGTGGGAATGTTCGTTTTAAAGAGTGGTGGTCAGGAAGGCTTCACTGAGAAGGTGACATGTGAGCAAAGACCTGAAAGGGTGAGGGAGAGAGATCGTGGAGCTGTTCAGGGCTCTAAGGATTTTCAGGGATAATCTTGATGTGTTTC